GCTATTTCTAATATTATAGGATGGATAGATTATACTAATTAAAATATGCCTTTGAATAAGAAGAAATAGCTGAAGAGCTATTTTATCAGTTTGTACGAAATTCTTTTAGGTGTATGCGAACTAAGCTAGCGCTAGTTTAGTGTATAGTATGCAAGGCCTCAGGCACCAACTGGTGCCTGAAGCTGAGCTCTATATCAGGGCCTTGGTCCCATAACAGAACTAAACTTAAGATTCTATATAATTATATTAATAAGAATCTTAAATTAGAATATATTTAATCTTCTAAGAACTTTACTAGGATTTCTATCTTATTTATCTCCAAGAAAGATAACAGTCTATACTTTTATATAGACTATAGAGATCTTAATAAGATTTCTATTTCAAAAATTACTATTTTTTATTTCTTATTTTAAAGATTCTAGATAGAATTTCTAAAAGTAAATACCTCTCAAAAATTACTATTAAAGATATCTACTACTAAGTCTATATTGAAGAGAAAGATAAATAGAAGATAATATTCTATATAAGATATAGTTATTTTAAATATATAGTTATACTATTTAGATTAATTAATACTCTAATAATCCTCTAAAACTATATATATACTATATTTTATAGACTTTTTAATAACTTTTATATAACATATTTAAATAATATTCTTATCTTTTTATTAAATACAGATTTCTATATAAAATATATTTACTAAGTACTTAAGAGACTTTAAGAAACTTAACTCTATATTAGTTTTCTAGGATATATTATTAATAGTAAAGATATTACTATAGACTCTTAGTATATAAATAGTATTATTTTATTAGCTAATATCTAAGAATTATTATAATATCTAAGTCTTCTTAGAATTCTATAACTTTTATTAATAATTTATTAGAGACTATTCTTATATTATATTACTTCTTATTTTCTTACTTTGTAGAATAATTAATAAATAAGAATCTAGATAAATTTCTGTAAATTTATATAAAAAGATTATTTTTTATTATCTAATTACTATCTTTTAGTAAACATCTCTTTTCCTATATTTTAATTCTATAAAATTCTAATATTTAGAAACTAATACTTCTAAAGAAAAACTAAATAGAATACTATTCTAATCTAATAATAAGAATATATTTTATTTAATTATCTTCTAGTTATATAAATCCTCTAGTACTAAACTAAATTATAGTACTCTAGATTAAGAATTATTTACTATTATTTATTTATTTAAATAATAGAGATAATATCTTAAAGATACTTCTTAAACTATTAAAGTTTTATGTAATTATTCTAACTTAACTTAATCGGACACCGAACCGCTGAGACACCGAACCGCGGCAACGCCCCCTCCGCGTCTTGCACGTCTTGCAACCTCAACATCTTGAATCCCAAGAACGTGTTTATATTCCTAAAATCCTCTGATTTTTGATGGTTCTTCTTGCAGATAATATTATAGATAAAAATAAATATTTAAATCTTACTGTTAAGATCTTTTAAAGTAGAGAATATTCTATAAAGATTACCTATACTAATACTTTTAATATTAAAGAAAGTACCCTCAGAGATTATCTAAAAGATGTTAAATTATATACTTAAATAAATACTAATAGTAGAAAGCTATCTATAATTAAAGAAAATATATTAAAGTAGTAGCTTCTTAATATAGTATATTATAGATTATCTCTTAAGGTCTATAATACTTAATTCTTAGTTAAATTACTTTATTAAGCGAAGTTAAAGCTAAATTAATATAGTTATATATTAGAATACTAGATTTCTTGTTTTATTTAATATTATCCTAATTTAAAGTCTAAATTTATATTAAAATATAATTATTAATATATTAAATACAAAGATCCTTAACTTATTCAGAAGTAGTTTAATCTTGTCTATAATACAGTCTAAAAATATAGGATTTATAAGGAGGATATATAGAATATAAATAAAACTAGATTCTAGATAGAAATAGCTTCAACTATATATATAATCTATAGCTCAGAAATAAGAAACTCGCGTATAAAGTCTATACAGTCTAGAAATTATAAATAAATAACTTTAATTATTATAATTTTAGCTTTAGAAACTATACTATCTCTATAAATTATTTTTACTACATAGAATTACTAATTAATATAGTATAATATCTACCTAAGGTCTTATTATCTTAGTATTAGTAAAAATAACTGGACTACTAATAAACTTGATTTTAATTAGTTTTAGATATATTTAACTAATATATAGTATTAAAATCTATTAATAATTATTATTTATTAATTCTTAATAGTTATAGAAGCTATATAATATAATAGTTTAATTAATTCTATATATCTTAAAATATTATTTCTTTATATATATCTACTTACTCGTCTTATAAACTGTAACTGCTTAATATTACTTATTTTAGACTATTAAAGAAGTTATATAGTCAGTATATTTATAAAGCTATTTAATATAAAAATATATCTATAAATAAGATAGATTTCCTATAGTTCTATAGTAATATATATATTAAACTCTTTATAAGTACTAATATCCTTAGTAGATTCTATACTATGGGCCTTATTTCTTTAAATTCTTTAAAGATACTTATAATACTATAGATTTGGCTAAAAATATTAACTCTACTAATATTCTTATATTCTAACTAGTTATTTTATCTTAAAAAAACATCTGTAAATCTATATAAGCTAGAGAAATAGTAATAAGAACTATAAGAACTTATAGATTAAGACCTAGTATTAATAGTTTCTTATAAAGTAATTTAGAAAATAATAAAAGCTGTAGAATAGTCTATATAGAATATAGTTCTGCTTTAATATTAAGCGAGGTAGTTTTAGTATACTTAGATATATAAAAAAGAGAAGAAAGAGATCTTATATTATTTTATTTAGAATAGAGATACTTTAACAGGCTAAGAGGGCTTTAATATAGTCCAGGCACGCGAGATTGAGGTCTCAATACTAAGACCGCCCAAGGCGTGCCGACCGGCCTGTTGCAGTATAGGTAGAAGGGAGGGACATAATCAGTTGAAATATTAAGAAAACATTAAGAATTAATATATATAGTATTTTTGGTGGTTCTAAATAGCTTCATGAAGCAGCCAGCGAGGTAGGAAGCGAGGCGGCGGCAGATCGCCGCGGTTCGGTGTCTCAGCGGTTCGGTGTCCGATTACGTTATAATTATTTATATACTAGACTAAGGTCAAGAGAAGATAAGTCTAATAGCTTATATTTTTAATATCTTTTAACTTTATTATTATATATAGAATAGAAAAATCTAATTTAATATCTATATAGTATTAAGCTTAAAGAATCCTAATAATTAAGCTAATATAAAAATAGCTAACTAGACTACTTAGAAGAACTTATCTTAAGAGAGATCTATTCTCTAATCTATAGATATATATATATATACTATAGAAGTTTTATATTTAAATATATATAGTTTTAAGCTCTAGAAGATAATTTTATATTTATAGAATAAAGATCTAGAGATATAAAGATAAAAAACTACTATTAAATTAAACTAATTAAACTAAAAGAACTAGAATATTAATTCTATAGATTATATTTATTTTAAGAATTATTTTTATATATTATCTTTTGAAATCTTATATTAGATATTTATTTATCTATACTATAATAATCTCTTAGTAGAATACTTTAGAAAAATCTAAATAGAAATATTTTTACATAGAAAATTCTACTAGAATAGATTATATTATAATATAATCTAGTATATGTAAATTTATCTAATATATTAATAAAATACTACTCTAAAATATTAATTATATAGTAAACTTGAATTACTATTAATATTATTCTATTCTTTTAAGAAATTAGTAATAGATTTTATTATAGAACTACTTCTAATTATTTAATTTAGAAGAACTATTAATACTATCTTAGTTATAATAGACTATTTTTTAAAATACTCTTTTTTTTTATTGGTTCTATTTATAATTACTACTTTAGATTCAACTAAACTCTATTATTACAAAATTAACTTAATCTTTAGACTATCTAATAATATTATATTATATTAAGAATTAATCTTTACTAGTAAATTCTAATTAAAATTATATTATAATAGTTATATTATTTTAAAGCTTTTAAATAGTAAATTACTCTTAAACTAATAGTTAAATTGAAAGAATAAACTAGATACACTAACATACTATCTATAATATTACTTAAGTTAACTTAAACTAGTCTATAATACTATAAATTATCTAATTTACTTATAATAATATAAAAATTACTACTATTAGATAGTTAATTATATATTTTTCTACTAGAGCTATAGAATATAGAAAAAAATTATAAAGAACTACTTCTAATACTAAAATTAGATAATAAAGATAAATAGAAAGTTAAAGAAGTTAAAGATTACTAATATGATAATAACTTAGACTACTATCTAGTTAAATAAAAGAGATACCTAAGTAAATATAATTAATAAATCTCTAGTAAAAATATAGTAAATATATAAGAATATATTAGAGACTACTAGAGAAAGTACTAAGAGAAGTAAGAATTAACTAAATTCTAGTAAAATACTACTAAATAATTATAGATATTAGATTTATATCTTATAAATATATCTAATTATATAATATTTTGTAGTTTTTTATTATATACTCTAGTATACTAATAGATATATTAATTATATTATTATAAGATAATAGATTTTATCTATATATACTAAAATTCTTATAAGACTATGATTTAGTATTTTCTTATTAATAAAACTAATATAAGTTATTCTTATAACTTATCTAAGATAATTAGAAAGTCTTTAAATATCTAGTTAAGAATATTATCTAATTATTCCTCTTTAAACTAAAGTCTAACTATAGCTAAAATACTAGTATAAAATAACTATTTAACTAAGATCTAAAGAATATATCTAGGATTTCTAGATATAAGATAGAGCTTCTCTATATCAATTCTAGTAATTTTATAATAATAATAAGCTAGAAATACTTTGTAATTAGCTATATATTACTAGTAAAATATTAGTATAGTAGTTATTAAATAAGTTTATTTTTATATACTATTTTCTATACTATTAATAGACTATAATATTAATAATATATTATTATTATCTATATAAAAGCTTTTTCTAGATAAATTATATACTTATTTACTATATAAAGAACTTTTTTATTAAAATTAATAAGAGCTTTACTCTTCTTATCTTTATTTTTATAGAAGAAGTAACTATAATATTTGTTTAAAAACTTTACTAGTTTAATTATATTATTTAGTATACTAGTAGATATCTAAGTATATTAGTTAAAGTATATTAAAGAGAATTTATAAATCTCTATTATTCTATAGCTACTCTAGTAGCTATAATACTACTAATAGAGATTTAATTCTTTACTATCTAAGATATAATTCATTAAAAAAGCTTTCTAGATATCTATATTCTTAGACTTAAAATACTTTAATAAAGTTCTTAAATAGTATATATACTAGAGTTAAGAAGACTTAATAACTATAGTCTATATAGAGTATGATTAAGTTATTACTAAAGTGTAATAATAATAATAAGTACTAGTTACTCTATCTAGTATACTATTTATATAGAGAAGATAAAATACTAAAGAATTAAATATATACTAAATATAATAAATATAATAAAATATCTCAAGCCTTAACTAAAAGGTAGATAATATATAAAGTAAAGAGAATAGAAAGAAGAAAAGAAAATAATAATAATATAATAGACTCTTTTATTTATACTCTCTTCTAATAGATCCACCCACGCAACTATAACTAGATACTGGTAAATCTATATAGAAATATATATAATTTTATTAATATTATCTACTCTATAAATTCTTTATCTTTTATTACTGGGTCTCTATCTTTTCTAATTAGAATATATAAGATTATTCTTAATACCTAAGTTACATAGCTTATTCTTATAAAGAAGAGTACTATTTATAATAAAATAGCTATTATTAGAAGTAAGACTATTAGAATAATATACTAAAGTAATTATAGAAGTTATAAGATTATTAATAGTAAATCTATATTTTTCTAATATCTATAAGATACTAATTCCTCTACAGAAGACTACTAATCCCTTAAGGATTAGTCTATTTTATGGATGTAGACTACCTTTGTCATTACTAGACAAATCCATGGTGTTTAGTGGTTGATTCCTTACCTAGTCGACAGGCTTTCTACCCTGACAAGTAGATCCTATCACAATATAAAAATTATTAAATTTATCTATATTAGTATAACTAAGTAGACTACTAATAATCCTATAAATCTACTAAAATATATATATATATCTATATTATTGATTAACTTATTATAATAAATTATATGATCCGATTTTTCTCTGTCTATATATTATCTTCTTTCTATTTTAGAAATAGAAGTAGTCTTATATCTTTCTTATTCATATATAACTTAATATAAATTTACTTATAGAAAGTATATAATATCTAGGTTATATAATCTTGGACTTCTATAAATCTTACAGACAACCAAGCATCCTCAGTGATAACAACACCAATAAGACACACATGTCTGTCAAATGATTCGATGATATGGAAGATAGTTGTTCTATTAATGGAGACGAGGATACAGGAAGTTGCTATAAACATCAAAATGATAGACTGTAGGCACCAACACCGCGGAGGCAACACCCCGGGCAGGAACGACAGTCGCCACCGGTGAATGGACCGGCGATGGCCACAATAGAGATAAAGAGAACTATTATATATATCAATCTATCTATAAATAAGAACTAGTAACATAATCGGACACCGAACCGGCGCGACACCGAACCGGCGGCTCCCTCCGCCCCCATCAAAATCCTTAACATCCTCAACATCCTCAATCATCTTGATTATCTTGAAGTCAAAAAACATGCTTAAATTACTAAATTATATAATTTTTAGTATTTATTAATATAACTAATAAAAAGAAATATATAGCTCTTACTATTAAGACTTTTTGATATAAAAAATTCTCTATAAAGACTATATATACTATAGCTTTAAATATTAAGATTAATATTTTTAAAGAATACTTAAATAGTATTAAATGTTATATTTAAAGAAATACTAATTATAAGAAGGTATTCTTAATTTAAGAAAATACTTTAAAATAATAGTTTCTTAATATAGTATACTATAAATTATCTCTTAGAATCTATAATAACCAATTCTCAGCTAAACTACTTATATAAGTAAAAATAAAGCTAAATTAATATAAATTTATATCTAAATACTAGATTAATTACTTTATTAAAGTTTATTCTAAATTATAATCTATATTTATTTTTAAATATAATTATCAATATACTAAATATAAGGATTCTCAGCTAAATTTAGAAGTAATTTAAATTAGTCTATTTTATAATCTAGAGATACAGTATTTCTAATAAAGATATCTAGAATATAGATAAGAGAAGATTTTAGATAGAAATAGCTTTAACTATATATATAATCTACAGCTTAGAAATATAAGAATTATAGATAAAGTATATATAATCTAGAAATTATAAATAAATAACTTTAATTATTAGAATTTTAGTCTTAGAAATAGTTCTCCTATTATAGATTATCTATATAATATAAAATTACTAATTAACTTAGTATAAGATCTATCTAAGATTTTATTATATTAATATTAGTAAGAATAAGTAGACTACTAATAAGCTTAGTTTTAAATAGCTTAAAAATATATTTAAATAGTATATAGACTTATAAATAGTTAATTTATATTAATTATTAATTTTTAACAGCTATAGTAGCTATATAATATAGTAGTTTAATTAGTTCTATATAATTTTTAAGATTATATCTTTATATATATCTTTCTAATTATCTATAAGCTTCAGCTGCTTAATATTATATACTTTAGACTATTAAAAAAACTATATAATTAGTAGATTTATAAAGCTATTTATAGTAGTAAAAATCTAATTAATAAGATGAATTTTTTAAAGTATTATATTATAATATATACTAAGATCTTTACTAAAGCTAATATTCTTAGTAGTTTTTATACTATAGATCTTATTCTATTAAATTTTCAGAAGATTCTTTTAAAAAATTTTTTATATAATTAAAAAATATTAACTCTACTAACTTTCTTATTTTTAAATTAGTTATTTTATCTTAGAAGAACACCTAGTAATCTATATAAATTAAGAAAATAAAGAAAAGAACTATAGAAACTTATAGATTCAGATCTTTTATTAATAGTTATATATACAATTATAAAAAAAATACTAAAGATAGTACAATAATTAATATAATTAGTCATTTTACTTTAATACTAAGTTAAGTAGCTATAATTAATAGAGATATATAAATAAGAGAAGAAAAAGATCTTATAAAAATTTATAAAGAATAAAAGTACTTTAATAGATCAAGAAGACTTTAAAATTATATAGAAACTTAAAGATTACTAATTTAGACTTTGATATTAAGATCTTCTAAGACATGCCAGTGGGCTTACTATAGTATATATAGAAGTAAGTAACATTATTAGCTAAAGTATCTGATTGAAAACACCAAGAATTAAATATATATAGCCTTTGTAGTGTGGTTATAAAGCTTCATGAATATTAAGGATGGTAAGGATTTTGAGGATTTTGATGGGCTGCCGGTTCGATGTCCGATTACGTTATAGTATCTGTAATTATATAATCTACTATATATTTATTATATATTAGAAATCAACTATAGAGATTAATAACTATAATAAGTAGAAGATATATATTATAGTAGTCTATCTAGATTATATTCTAAATATTCTATAGAGAGATAAGATAATTGAATTATACTATAAAAGAGAATAGTCAAGTTTCTATAAGTTTCTAGAATTCTAATTAGATGATTCAAGAAACTATAGATAGAAGACTTAATTAAAAATTCTTTAAATAGAATCTTATTGTAATGGCTGCTGACGGTGTTGAGGATTCTGCCCTGTTATTCCGCCTTGGACGGATCTTAGTTAAATCATCCCGTCTCAGGATCTTGGAAGAATCAACTACTTTATGATGATATAATAAAGATCTCTCTATAGCCAACCCTAACAGTTGGTATCATGTCCCGGGTTCCAGATACTATATGTGTTTCTGTAGTCCTGCCTAGTAACTTCCGATTGCTTTTTATTGTTTTTATCTTTTGTTTGTTTATTCTTTTATTAATATTATTAACTATAGATACCTCTGGTTCATATACCCCCCCTCTTAGTTAGTTGTACTATAGTTCTACTAGTTACCTGTCTTTCTATCTTCTCTATCTGTCTTTTGTAGGTCACAAGATATTATTAAGCCCTGCTCTTGTTAATATGACTGGTAAAGTTAGTAAAGATTCTATATATCTTTCTAAATTTTATCTTTTCGAATCTACTTCTGCATGTTATCAATTATCTATATTCATTATTATTTCTAACTAGTTATTTATCTAATATCTTCTTCTCTACTTATTTATATAATCTATATCTTATCTTTCTATTATTATACCTAAACTAGTTATTTTAATACTTGATTTCTATAATAGAACTAGTCTACTAGATTATTTCGTTTCTAATAAAATTAACTAGTTAATATATATATTAGCTTAATAGTAATATATTACTATAAGCTTATTATCTCTTATATTCTATATTAATTTCTATCTCTACTAAAAATTATCTATATTCTCTATCTTAGAATATAGATTAATTAGTTCTTAATAAAGATATTTAATATTTTCTTAAATATACTAAATATCTTCTTATCTCTAAATTATTTCTTATCTTAATATAAGACTCTTATTTATATAAGCTCTTTATTAACTTTATTAAATCTAAAATCTTACTTAGTCAAATATAGTTAAGATTAATAACTTATTTATTAATATTACTTTTCTCTTATATCTATACTCTATTAGCTACTACTAAAATTTTTAATTTATAAGAAGATATTGATTCTAAAACATCTAGAAAATATCTTATATAAGATCTATTATCTTAGATTATTTATTAAGTATAATCTTTATATCTTAGACTATCTAATTAACTATCTATACTTAATAGTATCTCTAACTAGTATATTTTTATCTCTTAGATCTATTAGTATTTCTATTTCAAAATACAGCTATAAGATATAGATATATTAATATTAAGAATCCAGACATATTAAAATCTAGTCTAAAAGATCTAATCTAATTTTATTTAATCTAATTTAGAATAAATAGATTCTAGAATAGCTAAATCTAAATTCTACTATTCTTATAGTACTAGTATTGATTTTAATATTGAATTTTATATCAAAAAAGATCTAATAGTAATACTATAAGTATTAATTCTAGTACTTTTAATATATCCTGTATTAGTTATAGATGTAGTAGTAGAAATTATAGAAGTAATTCTAAAGAAATAAATTCTACTATTAAACATAATAATTCTAGATATATTAGACAACTTTTCTTCCTCGTGTCTTATAAGGTACTGACTCTTTCTTTCTTAACCCTTTCTTTCTTATTCTGCTGTCTTTCTTTAATCTGTATTTAGAATCTTATATAGCTAGAAAATAATAAGAATAAATAACTTTATATAGTTATAATATCATAATATCTTAGTATCTAGAAAAAGGACTTCAGACCTAGTATATTAACTATAAGTTAATAGTCTATTCTACATAATCTTAGATTTCTCTAGAAATATTTTTTAAAATATAAAGATTACTTCTCTATTATCTCTATCTTCTATTCTCTTTACTACTAGATAGGATTTCTGACTATCTTTCTTATATAGAAATATCTATAATATACTAAACTAGACTATTAGATTACAATATTCTATAATATATTAAGAAGCTAATATATCTATTAATTAGATAAAGATATAGTATACTACTATCTATATTATTAGAATATATAAATCTTCTAAATTAGTAGATACTATTCTCTATTCTTCTAATTAGAATATTAACTATCTGGTTTTAAATAAGATTATTAGGAAATTTAGATATCTTACCAAATTTCTACTCTTAGAGTCTATATATATATTCTAGCTAATAGAATAACTAATTCTAGAGATTAATCTAGATTAGCTTCTTAAATATATAAGATTAAGATTCTGATATATTAATAGAGTACTATTTAAATCTAAACTTCTAAGATCTATAGAAGTAGAGATCCTAGAAGATCTAATCTTCTCTAATAAAGATTTAATTCTCTTCTTCTTTATAGATTCTCTATAGAAGAATATTAATAAGATATCTAAATATTAGATTCTATAGATATTAAGATAGTTCTAGAAGTATTTATATTATCTATATAAATTTCAAGTACTTCTAATAAGTCTTAGTTCTAATATTTCTATAAAGTCTCTATCTTAAGAATATTATACTTAGAATCTAAATCTATATTTTAGTATCTTCTAAATCTATATCCTTAGTATTTATAGTATTTTTATCCAAAATATCTTTCTCTACTCTAGAACTAATCTTTAAAGTACTTTTTTCTATTCTAGAATTAATTCTGTTATCTTCTTTTTTATTTAATCAATATTTATTTTTTATATATTCTAATAGTAATAGATAATTAAAGAAACTATCTTTTTCTCTTTATTTTTTATTAGATTTCATTATATTCTTTTCTTTTATTTTACCTTACTTAACTTATTTATATCTTTTAATTTATCTATATTGATTAAAGAGTCTATAGAATCTATATAATCTTATTTAGAGAAAAGTTTAGATACTATAATATAAATAAAAGCTAAGCTAAGCTTTTTATATAGTCTAGTAGATAATAAGTATAATAATATGGCTTAATTCTAGCTTACTAAAATTATAATAGAGTTAAGAAATATAAATTAGTATCCTTATAACTTTAAGTAAGATTATAACTAATATAGTTAGAAAGAA